ATTCTATTAAGACCACCTAACCTGGCCAGCCACTGGTGGGTTTACCTGTGCAACCCATGCTGTATCAACAGCATTGTAGCAACAATGGAACATGCATATCCATTGCTGCCTTCTTTCTGATTCTGGATAGCCTTTCCAGTGTACCCCGTATTTGACCCATTTGTCTTTTGCCTATAGTGTAACACAACTCCCAGCTCCTATTCTTCCTCCTTGCTTGATAGAATGGGGAAGGGGAGTGGTCTGTGAGTGCAAAGAAGCAATCGCTTTCAAAATAAAGTCGTGATGGAACACAGGGTGAGCTTTCATTGAAGGTGACAAAAAGCTACTAGGTTTGTTTCACTTCATTACTAATGCATGATCAATAACGTTTAAGGCCTGTTTCTTGGAAATTCTCATGGATGTTGTACATTTGTAGAGAGCCACACCGAATTCCCCATCTGCAATTCTAGGTCTCTTGACTATGTGCATGTGTTGATTTCTTGTAGGTAGCCTTTGCTAGTTTGAGCCGTTCCTTTCAGAGGCTTCGGGCTGCTTTTCTCTCATGCACAAAATCTGCATTGCAAGGGAACTCTCCTTTCTCATCTGGCTTTTGGTAAGATGTGTGTGTGGAATCCATGTGTTGCCTGCAATAGGGACATATCGACAGAGAAGTCTGCAGAACTCTTGTAAGCAAATTTAGCAAGATGTAAGAGATCCAGCTAGTTGCCTTGCTTATAAGAAATATCACATCTTGTATAAAGCTGTTAAACTTACGGCTTGTCCATTGCATGCTGGATGAAGCATGGATGAATGACAAATGAATGTTAATATTCAATGGGTGCAATAGGGCCTTCCAAAATTTGGAAGTCAGATGACTTCCTCAGTCTGTTATTGCAGGATAGACGAATCCTCTATACCAGGGGTGTCAAACTCAATTTCGTTGAGGGCCGCATCAGGGTTGTGTTTGACCTTGGGGGGGTGGGTGGCCAGGGTGGGTGTGGCCAGCTCAACATCACTTGTGTTGGGAGCGCCTGTGGTGGCCTGAGCTCTCTGCCAGCAAAAATGGGCTGCCAAGGTCTGTTTTCAGCTGCAACAGCCTCCTGCAACCCTTTGCCAACGAAAACGGAGCTCAGAAGGAGCTGCATGCCCCACAGGCCATATCTACGCCCCCCTGTGGGTCAGATCCGGCCCCTGGGCCTTGTGTTTGACACCCCTGCTCTATATCTAAAGATGGGGTCTTAAAGATTTGGAGCCTCTTCTTGGACTTTGGGGTTCTTTTGCAAAGAATAAAATAGGTTTTAGGTTTTATTAGGTTTTATTAAACATTTATAGGCCGCCCTTTTCCCTGAGGGGACTCAGGGCGGCTTACAATAATAGGGGAGGGGAGTGCAGAACAAAACACAAAAAGAAAATGTGAGTAAAAATGTGAGTAAAAATAGGCCAATTCAGAATTTGTCCTTGTGATTATACAAATAATGTGACTTAGTGACGTACATATTCTAATAGGCAAACCGGATGCTGAAAAAAAATCCAGTAGAAATTGAAGGCTTAGAAGCTTAGCAGCGTTTAGTAGGAAATTGGGGTGGAAAGTACAAGTGCTGATTCTGCTAGAGCAGGGGTGTCAAACTTGATTTCATAAAGGGACGGATCAGCTTTGTGGTTGTCCTTTAGGGACTGCGGGGGGGGGGAGAAGGGGTGTGGGTGTGGTGGTCGCAGCCAACTGGGCGTGGCCTGGGGCAGGGCCATCTTAATGTAGCTCATGTGGGTGGTGCCTATGGCGGCTGGGCGGGGTTGGGGAAGGAACCCAGGGCTCTATGGTGGGTGGGGTGCGGGAGGCTCATCCCAGGGGATGAGGTGAGGCAAGGCAGCGGTGGGGCAGCGACAGCCAATGTGACTTCAGCTGCTTTCGGTGCCGCTTGGTTTCTCACCACACCCCTGCCAGGCTTGTCTGGTCTGGTGGGAAGGATTGCCTTCTACCTTCTCCGCAGTGCCATGAACGGGGATTGACCACCCCCAATCCCTGCCACTTTCATAGTAAATCCTAGGCACTGTGCTGCAATGGACAGACGAAAAGGGGAGCTTTTTGTCTGAAGGAGGAGGAGCAGCAAGAAGAAAGAGGGAAAGTGGCCAAATGAGAAGGGCCCTGGGATGGTGTGGGCCAGGACAAAGTGATGCGGGCTGGCCCCTTACAATTTCCAGGATGGCTGTGTGGGCCGGATCTGACCTCACCGTGGGATTGACACCCCTTTGCTACAGCATGCTAGGAAGAAAGAAAATTGTGCAAAAAGAAAGAACCCATGGAAGAGAGAAGTTGCGTGGCAATGGAACACAATTTAGAAGTTGTGGTGGTCACAGGAATAGGGGACACCTTCCACATATCAAGGGTAAAGGTGCCACAAAAACAAGTATTATATTGTCAGAAAGGTCTTGCCATCCAAATTCTTACATTTGTGCGACGAGCAAGTTAAGTGCCTTTTGCTGGGCAACGGGATTCTATTAGCGTAAAGGTAGTCCTCAACTCACAAGAGTTCATTGAGTGACTATTTAAAGTTACAACAGCACTAAAAAGGTGACCAGTCACTTTTTTTCCCACACTTACAACTGTTGCAGCATCCTCATGGTCACACGATCAAAATTCAGATAGAGGGCAGCTGGTTCACATTTATGACGATTTGCAATGTCCTCGTGACCCGACAAATGCGCGCATGACAAAAGCGCGCCGACAAAACTGCGGCGCTAAAACCGCAACATCATCAACGCGCTGACAACAGCGCGCCAACAGAAGCATGATTTAAGTTAAGGTTAGGGTTAGGTTTACAGCGTGCTTTTGTCAGCGCGCTGTTGTCGGCGTGCTTCAGCGCTCATTCGTCGGCGCGGTTTAGAACTCACGGTTTTGTCGCCGTGGTTTAGTTGGGCATGCTTTTGTCGGTCGCCCTTCTGTCGGTGAACCCAATGTCCTGCCATCCTGTGATCAGCTTTTGTGCCCTTCTGGCAAGCAAAGTCAACAAGGTAGCCAGATTCACTTAACAGCTGTGTTACTAACTTGCCAAGGGCACGTAACAACTCTGGCAAGAGAGGTGGTAAAATGGGGCAAAACCCACTTCACAAATGCTTCACTTAGCAACACAAATGTTGGTCTCAAATCTGGACATAACACGAGGACTACCTATAATCATAAAAGGGTGGTGGTCAAAGAGCACTAGATGTGTTACTTTTCCTTTGCAGGCTGAGAAAAGAGTAGGAACCTGTTGGGTAATTGGCCTTTAAAAAAACAGATTCCCATTAGACGCATCACAATACAATCACTTATCCAGGTGTCAGAGTTCTGAAGCTAGCTGAAACTGCAGGGGGATTCTTCAAAATCTCTTTGCGCTTACCTGGATCTACACCGGTTTACACTCCTGAAGACAATCCTCCCGATTCAGAAAGTTATTTCTGTTGCCGTTGCAGCCGCCAAACTTGAATGGTTTACAGGTCTTGGTGTTGCGATCGTAGTAAAAGCGAGGGAAGTTTTCTTTGCATGGGCCAACATCCATTGGTTGGTTACACGTCTCTATCATGGAATCTGGGAGATTCGGGAAGATGCAAACGAGAGGGGCGTGTGTGTGAAAGTGTGTTTTTATGTAAAAGCTGGAATGTTTTCTTCCATGTACAACAAGGGAAACTGCAGACTCAATTCTTAACTATATTGGCCAAGCTATAAAAATAACTATGCATAAATCTATTCTCTACATTTCCAAGTTTTCTATCTCATTCTCAGGGTGCTTAGTTTGGTGTTTCTGAGCAGACACTGCAAAGTAGTGGGTGGTGTTGGAGTTCTCCTCTTTGAACATCTTTCCAGTATTCCGAAGTTGTCCTACCTTCCACTTTTCCCCATCTGAAAAACCTCAAAGGAAGCAGTTGTGCCTCCTGAGATCTTCCTTTGGAATTTAATAGAAACATGGTGTCAGGCCTGCAATTATATTCCTTTTAGAATTTTGNACACACACACACACACACACACACAAAAGCAACAATCTTTTCACTTCACTCACAGACCCCAGCCACCTTCTGGAAGCTGTCTTGAACGTATATATCGGTGTATTTCTTTCTTTACCTCTTCTGGCAGGGAAACCTTAGCAACATAGCAGGCAATCAAAAGACCTGTTTAATGAAAAAGACCATGAATAACACCTTTGGATTTTTTACTTTTTTTTGAACACTAAAAGTCACCTTGTCTGATAATCTAAGGGTAAATTTGTGTTTTTATTTCCCTTCTTAAAAGACCATTTTTTTAAAAAAGGATCAATATAGCAAGATTTTATTCATCAAGAACAAACAGAGAATCTCTGCACTTTCTCAACAGTAATTTCTCCAATAATCCTGGAATCTATTACTTTTAAATACACAAAAGCCTGCAGATAAATATCATTATTTCAGGAGGCAAAAAGCAGACTGCCTATTCAATTCTTCCTTAAATGTCTGGCAACATGCCAGAGACTGGAGGGAAGAATAGTTTCTGCTTCTCAGAAATCATTCACGATCTATTGTTCTGGAATATCCTTTCCCTCTTCCCTTCATATACGAAAGAATACAAATTCAAGATCCCAGTTCAAACTTTGGAACCTCCAGAATGAGTAAAATGAGGAAGGATAAAAATCATATGGCAGCCTTTCTCAACCTGGTGGGGACTGTAACTCTGTGCATTGACAGAAAATAACGGTTATGGTGGGTAGGAATTTTGGGGATCAATGTCAACACATCTAGAGAGTACCAAATTGGGAAAGAGAGACAACACTGAGCTAGCAGGAGCTGTGGTCTACTTGGCCATACGTAGCTGAGGAATTCCCCTCCCCCCAATTTTCCCAGTTCTGTCTGCTTATTCCATAGGTGAAAAGATAATTTAATTCACAGTACAGACATAATTTTAACTGGTTGATTTACACAGAGTGAATTTATACCTGGAGCAAGGGTGAGCACCCCAGAACATTCAGCAGGCCAATGGCCATCTTCAGCTTGTACACCCGAAAAAAACTTAATTGCTTTCAGCACTGCTTCCTGAGCTGTGCTGGCTTTGGGTAACTCTGGAAAAAATTTACTCTGTAAAATAAATAATGGTGATAAGATAAATATATTCCTGTCAGGTTACATTTTTCAATATATTCACTCTATTTCTTTTGGGGACATTTTATCTGTTAACAGAGAAGACAATGAGATCTGGAATCTTGGTAATGAGGAATAGAAATGTACCCTTTCCATTCTGGCTACAACCCTTTTTTAAAACATTGGAGCAAAGGCTTTTTACCCATTTTTCAGTTTAATATTCAGATATAAACACTCTTTTAACATTATCTATATCTATAAATGATAGATGAAACGGTATAGGGTTTCCTGCTAGGCAGGAAGGCAGGGGGTTGGACTAGAAGATCTCCAAGGTCCCTTCCAACTCTGCTACTGTATTGTAAGTATTTATTCAGTTGCATCTGAATAATTGCAATTGTTGTGTAAAGATAGATAGATAAGTCCTTGACTTACAACAGTTCATTTAGTGATCATTCAAAGTTACAATGGCACTGAAAAAAGTGATATGACAGTTTTTCACACTTATGACCTTTGTAACATCCCCATGAGCATGTGATCAAAATTCAGATGCTTGGCAACTGACTCATACTCATGTCTGTTGCTGTGTCCTGAGTTCATGTGATTACCTTTTGCACTGTTTTGACAAGCAAAATCAGTGAGGAATCCACATAACAACAGTGTTACTAATTTATCAACTGTGATGATTCACTTAACAACTGTGGCAAGAAAGATCATAAAATGGGGAAAACTCAAGAAAAGTCTCGTATTAACAAATTTTAAGCAATTTTGGGCTCAATTGTGGTCGTAAGTCAAGGACTATGGATGGATGGATGGATGGATGGATGGATGGATGGATGGATGGATGGATGGATGGANTGGATGGATGGATGGATGGATGGATGGATGGATGGATAGATAGATAGATAGATAGATAGATAGATAGATAGATAGATAGATAGATAGATAGATAATGATTGTATATATATATATGAAAAGGCAACATAAAAATACTACTAGTCATTGCATGACATATTTTATGCATATCAAAATGATTCAAGGCATGCATTGCTCATGAGTCACAGAAGTGATTAGGGCTATCAGAAATGTTGCACCAGTAATAATTCTAGTTAATATAGAAGAAGGTACAGATATTGGGGTGGTAGATACACAAGGCCCCTTTCTCACTGTAAGAAACCCTAAACATGTCAGAAAGAAAACCACAAGCAGAAAAAAGACCATCAGTACTTGCTAAATTGCAGCAGGGCTGCCCTGCATTGGTAGCATTCATGCTTTTCTCTGCCACTATGGACATTATTTGTGCACTTGTAATGATCATCGACCACTTACTGTGTTTAGCCCTAAAGTATATGCTTCAAGTGCGTTCTGTTCCCTGGCACATTCCTCATTTTCAGGCACATAATACCATTTCTGTCGTCCTTCTACTGTGCTCAGTCGCCAACGAGTCAGTTCTGTCTCTGGTTCGATTTTATTGGCACCTTCTTTGTACAGAGAAAGCCTGGTAAGATAGGAGGTTTAAACAGTGATACCATAACATCATTTTGTTTTTCAAACTTACTTAAGACAGCAAGATGCAAAATATATTAAACAGTAGAGCAAGTAAAATGAAAAGATCTTCAAGTAAATAGGGTTCAGGAACCAGGATTCCAGGTTTAAAGATTTCTGAAACTATATTTTATATATTTAATTAATTTACTTTAATTTATAGATTTATCAACTCTCCTAATATTACAAAAACTATCATAATTATCAATAAAACTGTTCAATAACATGTATAGGATTATGCATAGTGGCACAGTGGTTAGAATGAAGTATTGCAAGCCAAATCTGCCCATAGCCGGAGTTCGATCCTGACCGGCTCAAGGTTGACTCAACTTTCCATCCTTCCAAGATCAAGAAAATGAGGATCCAGATTGTTGGGGGCAATATGTTGACTTTATAAATTGCTCAGAGAGTGCTATATAGCATTATGGAGTGGTATATAAGTCTAAGTGCTATTGTTATTGTTATTACGAATCTATTCCTCTTTAGTATAACTATGTAAGAACAAAAACACATTATACAAGCAATATACTTAAATATCAATTTAATATACAATACATATAAATAATAATTTTAAAAACACCAGCATCACTATAACATCCACCTTTTAATATGTATTATATCCAGCTCACTGGTTCTTTAAATATTCATAGCAAAGTATCAAGAATAGTGTACAATTTTATATCTACAGACATCTGATTTTCATGCTATGCTAAACCATTGTTTGTTTAACTGTAATTTCCTGACTAACCCACTATATAACCTAGTTAATGTTATAAACAAGAAATTGCACTTACATGTTATCTGACATCTCTCTTGCTTGATGTTTGAAATCACCTGCTTTGAATGCTCCGAAGATTTATTTGGAGTGGTCAGAGTTGCCAAACAAGGTACTGGTGATTTAAGAGCTAAAGTTGAGATGTTGTTTCTGAACCACCACAACTGCAGTGAAATCTGGTGCCGAGTTGCTGGAATAATCCTAATATCCTTGGTATAGGAAGAGATCGTTTAATGTCAGATGTAAGGACAACACAATGATGTATTGAGAGTACTCTCTTTATTGTTGTTCATACAAAGAAAGAAACTTGCTAAATTAAAGCACAACCTCCATAACTGTTAGATATACCCAGGGAAGGGTCTACTCTGGAGGTCTCCCTGGATACTAAGGATTCCAGACTCCAGCAACTGTGCATCAGAATCCACAGTAACAACCCCTAAAATACTAAAGTTCTTATCCATCAAAAAAAAGTTTAAGGTTCACTTAAGTAGAATTGTGGTACCTGACCACTCATAACAAGGGCATCAACAAGGCAATGGGCGGAGTTTCCGTTGTGCTCTATCATACTGTTCAGGGAAACTGTAAACTTGTTTCTTTCACAGCCGGGATTATCTTTCTCTGGAATCCGCCATGAATTTCCTTCTCTGATAATTCTAAACATGTATTTATCTGTTATCTCACCAAAATTCACATTGATTGTAGTAAGTGTCCAAGGTTAAAAAATAAAAAATAAACTGATAAAACCAGCCCAGCAGTACATGATAATAACAGGTTATGACTTATGAGGCCCTGCCTGACCTGTGCAGGTTAGCTTTCCAGGAAATGCAAAAAGACAAGTAAAATTGCCTGAGGAATCAGGTTCCTCTTAATTTTACAAATGGTAGTTATTTAGCATTTCTCCCCTATCTCCTACACAAAAGGCTGCTTAAACACCGAAAAATATGTACTGCGGGGGGGGGGGGGATCACAATTGGAAAGGGAAATCAAAGTAACTCCAGCACCAGTTCTTAAGCTTTTATGAAACTTAATAACAGGCAGCTACAGGGTATTTGAGGAATTCTAGAAATGATCGTCATTTCAGAACCAGCCTAGAACTAAAGAGAAATTTCATGACAAGTTAGAACAATTAATCAGTGGAACGACTTGTCTCCAGAAGTTGTGGGTGCTCCAACACTGGACGTTTTTAAGAAGAGATTGCATAATCATTTGTCTGAAATGATATAGGGCAGTGATGGCTAACCTTTTTCTAAAGGCGTGCCAAAACTGTGTGTACATGCTATTGTGCACATGACCCCTGCCCCCATTGGCGGCAGAATTTTCATACTCCCCAGGCTCTGGAGGCTTTTCTGAAGCCTAGTGAGGGTGAAAATGGACTATCCTGCCCCACCTGAGACCCTCCATAAGGCAGAAACAGGCCCAATGGGCCAACCAGAAGTTCAAAAATGATCTGTTTCCACCTTCCAGAGGGCCTCTAGGGGACCGGGGAAAGCCTCCGGAGCCTGGGGAGGGCGAAAAACACATCCAAAGGACCAACTGGAAGTTCAGAAACAATCCGTTTCCGCCTTCTGGAGGGCCTCTGGGGAACCAGGGAAGGGCGTTTTTCTTCCTCCCCAGGCTTCAGGAAAATCTCTGGAAGTTCGTTCCCATTGGGCCTCTTTTTTGTTCTCCCCAGGCTCCGCAGGCTCAACTGAAGCCTGAGGAGGGAGAAAAATGGCCCAACAGCCCAACCAGAAGCCTTGGGGGGTGAAAATGGCCCCCCACTGGCCCTCCAGAAGGCCAAAAATCAGCTGGCTGGCACGCACATGCATGCCAGAGCTGAGGGCTGCCGTGCCAGCAAATATGGCTCTGTGTGCCACCTGTGGTATACGTGCCATAGATTTGCCATCACGGGTATAGGGTTTCCTACTTGAGCAAGGGGTTGGACTATTAGATGATCTCCAAAGTTCCTTCCAACTCTGTTATTCTGTTATTCAAAGAAGGTGACCCTTTTGTTCCTCTTCACAAGTAATACTGACAGCAAACAACTGCCAGGCCAAACTTAGACCAAACTTGGAAACCAAAGACACACAAACTTATTTGTGTGTATAAACTACACACAAATAAGAATCTTGCTAATCTGTGAATGTATTTCCCTCTCCCCTTCCTTTTTAGGTTTAGGTTATATTTATTAGATTTATATGCCACCCTTCTCCCAAGGACTCAGGGTGGCATACAACATTAAAAGAAACACATAATACAAAAGTTT